AAAAATGTATTCTTCTTTTTAAAAGTTACAGAATGTCAAAAGAGGACTCATTGAGAAAAGGAATGAAAACTACTCAAAAAATAGAGAGTGACTTAAAAAACTTTTGTTTTCCATTTTGCGGGACAAGGTGAGTACATCTTTGGTTATTCAAGGTATAGTTATATATGCTAACCATAAGCATGATGGTGTTATTCAAAATTTTAAATATGGGTAGAGATGTGCACAACTGCTAAGTTGATAAAGGGGTGGACTGTCAAACTCTCTGCTGTCAACTAGGCATTACCCCCAATCTCTTCTACATTTGCAAGGAAGATGTCTGGGTCTGCATTTTACATAATCCCTTTCATTATGTGGTTCTAGGATACTATCTGGGATAGAAGTTTTGAAAGTAGGATAGAATTCTTTATTCTAGTAGCAGCTATAGGTAGACAGCTGAGATGATTTGCAACATTCTCCTTTGGCTTCTGGAGATTCTCCTGAAATCAAGATTTATGGGGCTTCCCATGAATTCTACTGAATATTCTGAGAATCATCCTTGAAGTGCTGTAGACAGCTAAAATGTCTAGAAGTAGCTTATGTTGGTTTCCTGAGTCACAAGAATTACACATCAGTGCTGCAAGCAGTTGGGGTCATTGTTCACAGCTTCCCTGTGATTCTTACACTTTGATTTTCCCCAAAGAAATTGTCCTGATTTGTACTCTCCCAGCCATACCTAACACAATTCCTACTATTGTGGAAGCCTCTCTTTCAATTTGAAACCCTTAGAATGATAGTTTTTTAGAGGCAAGAAAGACCCCTAATCAATCTAATGAGATATAAGTACCAACTATATTTTATTTATAGGAAGACTTCTCAGGTTCTTATGTAGAATCTATCATATTTTTTGCAGGTAATTCTAATAATCTTAGTCATAGATCCCCAGGGAACAAAGTGAAGCAGCAAACTGGAAAGAAGGGAGAGTCTATCTGAATTTGGGATCCTGATAGCACTGAAAGATAAAAACCATTAGCAATATAGTTTTACTGACTATTTTACATAATAGTAAATATTAAACTTTTAAAAGTTTAGAAGCCTGAGATCATTTAGGATACAACAGTTCATATAATAAAACCCCCCAAAGTATTGTGATATTATACCCTAGTATAAAATACAGTAATTGTAATAATAACCTATAAAATCAAGAAAAATATATACCATGTTGAGAATATTTAAGAAACCAGAGAGATGTGTAATCCATTTATGGGATTTTTTTTCCACCAAACATATTTAAAATAGAATAAATACACATTTTTCTTAATCTGTCTCTTAGTTGTTGGTATTACCCAGTGTTCTGCCTGATCTCAACTTTCTTTCTTCTCAGTACACTGTCCCAGTGTTTTCTTATCAATTATCCTGAGTAGACAGTTGATCTAAGCTACCTAGGTTTATAAACATTTTCCTCTTGGATTTAGGAAACGAGTCCCTGATTAATGAATGATGACAGCTAACACTTACATAATGCTTAGTAGGTACCAGGGACTGCTTTAAGTGCCTTGCATATATTAAATAAACTAATTTTCAAAACAAACTTGTAAGACTATATATTTCTATATAAATGTGTTTATTTTTATATATTTGTATTTATTTGATTTTATATAGTAATATTTTATATTACAATTATTTCTATTTTACAGAGAAGGAGACTGAGCCAAAATCACTGCCAGTTGTCAACCATCATCTAAACTCAACTGTAGTCACAGTGCCCTTTCCCTCAGGCAGCTGCTAACTTATCCCTCTTATGCTTGGATCCAGTGACTCTTACATCTTGACACCAACT